GACTAGAGGCGTAACAATACTTAGGTCCTCTTAAAAACAGTTTCCGCATTTGGGGCGCATTTGGGGAGAAGATAAATGTATAACAAGAAAACTTTCGATTCTGTACTTCATGCCGTGTGAAGTAAAAGGAGAAAATGATTTAAAATTGACAAATTGAACCTTCTTAAAACAAATATTATTACTTTTTCCTTCACAAAAATGTTACAAGATTAGTGAAAATGAAAAGAAGTACATAAATATAGACACGTGCATAAACACACACACACACATGTGCGTACATATAAATGTAGTCACTTTTGACTTAAAAATAAAATAGTTTTTATATCAAAAATGCAGAATATATATATATATATATTAAAATATCGACTTAAGTATTATTCATACCTAAACACGCTGTCATTAATGGAGTTTATGTCTTCTTGGCTCATTCCACATAATATATGTCCAAGACTGGCGAGCTGGGTCGATACGTAGTTGCTAAGGTAACGGCCAAGAGTTTGTTTCGTTTTGTTAGCAAGACATTTGAGCTGTTTTAGAGTTATAAGAAATAATCATTATTATTTAATAGCATGCAGACACATCAGGAGATAATTCACTGATTGCAAGTTTATTTATACATCTTTATCATGTAGACACATCACGAGATAATTCACTGATTGCAAGTTTATTTATACATCTTTATCATGCAGACACATCAGGAGATAATTCACTGATTGCAAGTTTATTTATACATCTTTATCATGTAGACACATCACGAGATAAAAAGTACTCGAATCTTCGTTATGTTAAGGGTAAAGCTACACAATCGGCCATTTGCGCTCTGCCCATTTCGGGTATCGAAACTCAATTGTAAGCATTATAAGCTCTCGGATTTACCGCTGAGCCACCTCGGGGCATATTACTTAATAGCAATGACAGGATATCACTATAACTTTACACACGTGGAAATGTTTCTAACGGTCCGACATGGCCAGAAGGTTAGAGCACTCGACTCGCAATATGAGGGTCGCGGGTTCGAATCCCCGTCCCACCAAACATGCTCGCCCTTTCAACCGTGGGGGCGTTATAATGTGACGGTCAATCCCACTATTCGTTGGTAAAAAGAATAGCCCAAAAATTGGCGGTGGGTGGTGATGACTAGCTGTCTTCCCTCTAGTTTTACACTGCTAAATTAGGGACAGCTAGCGCAGATAGCCCTCGTGTAGCTTTGCGCGAAATTCAAAAAACAAACAAATGTTCCTAACTGTTCATAACAATTAAAATGTGCTGCCTTATGAACGATAACTTGAATTCAAATTTCCGTTTAACTAATAAAATCAAAATAGAAGCTAATATCCAATATTTATGCTGAATTTAACCCCCACTGAAAATAGTCTTCACAATTAAAATAAAAGTTCAATTTTAGATTTGGAAAGACAAATAGATATTAGCAAAAAATTGACAATTATGCGATTTTAAATATTAAGCTTTCAAAAATTCCAAAAATAGCATTCTCTAAAAAAACACCTAAAAGAGAAGAAATCAGTAGACGTAAACATGGATTTCAGCAAAAGTTGTTGTTTTAGGGCATAAAGGATTCTTAATTTTTGGTTCACAAGTTCAAACTTTTTAAAAACTTTCTTTAGTATTAGAAGGTTAGATAATCTTACAAGAAGTTTCTAAAAATGTAATAAGTTATGAAAACAAATGTGGCATAATCTATAGTTTGTCTGTGTTACTTAGAACAATCTATAGTTTGACTGTGTTACTTAGAACAATCTATAGTTTGTCTGTGTTACTTAGAACAATCTATAGTTTGACTGTGTTACTTAGAGCAATCTATAATTTGACTGTGTTACTTAGAACAATCTATAGTTTTACTGTGATACTTAGAACAATCTACAGTTTGTCTGTGTTACTTAGAACAATCTATAGTTTGTCTGTGTTACTTAGAACAATCTATAGTTTGACTGTGTTACTTAGAGCAATCTATAGTTTTACTGTG